CACCCAAGACTAGCAACTAAGGATTATGGGGAGGGATGAGGAGAATTTCGGCAAGAACTCTTCTAGGGTTATCAATGTTGAGTTTATGAAGGGTATGTCCCTTTATATAAGTGAGATAGCTTAGTGTCAAAGCTAGGGTTTAAGCAGGAAACCCTAATCAATTTGTTTGGTGACCAAGCAACTCATGAGCCTCCATCCAAAAGCCTTTGGACAAAAATTCTAGGCCCTTCCTAGAAGTTTTCGTCCAACCTCTTACAAGGAGGTTCTAGAGCCCTTTTCCTCACCTATCAATAAATAGCCAAACATCCACTTCACTTTTAATTAATCCCAAAATTAATTCTAAATAATTTTTGATTAATTATTAATTAAATATTACCATTTCTAATATATTATTTTCATAATATATTAACAAATTATTTATTTTAATTTATTAATCAAATAATAAATCATTCTCTCTCTCCAAAATAATCTTGTCCAACTGCTAGGTTTGAGGTCAACCCAAAAAGACTATGCTACCATCAACTCTAGTTTATACATTTTATAGTTATGGGCTTAGACACCTAATCCAACAACAGTTCTTAAGCCGTTAAGAATTGTATCAAAAAAGCCTAAGGAGAAACAACTTATGAACCATCAAATCTAGCACCTAATTGCAAGCAAGAAGAGATGGAAGGAGGGCTTATTCACCATGCAATTGGTAGGACTTGAAGAGAGAAAAGAGAGCAAAAATCAACCTTTTCTTACTAGTAATGCCCTCCTTTTATACATAACAATATATACAAAGCCAAGCCTTACATTAAACGAAAGCATCGTGCTCTTTATGACAAGCATGGAGTGTAAGATTAAAGACAACAAGTAAGCTCTTCTCCTCTCAAGCAGCTTACTAGTTTTACGGAAAGGAAGTCAAAGCTTGGAGTGTGTTTCACATAATCTCCTAACTAGTAGACACATGCCTAATTAAGTGGTTACTTAAAGTGTGCACTTATTTATACATGACATTATATATTAATACCTTATGAATATAACTTATTTTGCTATCTTTTATTAGTATTTCCTAGAAACAATAATTCCCAATATGTTGGAAAAATATATTTTTTCATAAACTAATGTTTTTTCCAATTAAATACAAGTTTTGATATTTATTAATAATCAAAATTACTCTATTAAATAATCAGTTAGTAGTAAATTTCTATAAAATGTGGCTTTATAGGATCATATGTAATTACCAAATATCATTCTATAATGACTCTTAGGCATAAAGATCTTTCATTATCACTAGCATGCTTTGCCCTAATCATCATAGACAAATAACTTTAGAAATCACAACAAACATTCGTCAATCTCAATCAACACAAACCCTCTTTCTAACATGAACCTATCATACCCTTCACTTCAAAATACCATATTATGAAGTCGAACATGCAATACATCCTAAAACTTCAAATCATAGACAAATACCAACATTCACAGCATACAAATCAAACTCAAATAGAGAACATGCATCCTATAACATTCTAGGTTCATTCTAACGAATCTAAGATATGAAATTCCCTGACAAAGTACTTAGATTTCCATAAGGATTGACTCACCTATGTCTGCTATTTCCCACTTTAAAACTCGTGAACCATTAAGATTATCACAAACACCCCGAATACAACACAAACAATCATAGTACTATGTGTTTTCAAGATTACTACTTCCACACATATAGAGTTAATATTACAATTAAGTTTATGCTCTTTTATTATAGTTTTAGAATCACCCAACTTGATCCATGTTCAGTGTGCTAAGCGTAAAACAAAATCCAAAGGTCCAAACGGGATGATATATTACTTTCTGGATACTAGACTCGATTTCCCACAACTTTGTTCTTTTGGTGATTTTCTTTAATTCATATCAGAATGGCCTCTACAGCCTTGCAAGACAGGTCATCGAATCTGTCTAGCTTTCTAACTTTTGACAAACATCACCAAATACTTCAAGAATTAGGACAAGGACTTGAAACCAAACAATCGTGCACACTATTAGTCTTGAATAAAGGCGTTAACACACCAATTGAGTACTTTAATGGAAAAACCAAAGAGATGACACAAAAATGTTGAAAGTAGGATGCCCTTATCACACCAAACATAAAATCATACACTCACCAAATCAAGGCTTAATTATGCTTTGACTCAAAACACCTACTAGAATGATGTTTGGATGGACTTTTAACAAGAATGACATGACAAATAAGATAGTTATCTAAGCCCTCAAGATTTGGTTTTAGGGCAGAAAAATACAAGGCACATCAACGAAGAATTAAAAGACTTTTCAAGCTTGAAGTTGACATCATTTTCCTATCAATAAACCACACAAAAAAGCCACATATCAAGATACTTAGGAGATGTTTTGATAACCCTAAGAGAGGTTCAAAACTTGATCTTATATGTTGAAAAAATAAACATAATAAACCACAAGAATTGGGGATGAAAAGAACAAAATTTATGACACCAAATGGAAGGCAATTGATTAACAATTCCAACCAATTCTCAGGCACCATTACCAATATATAAGGGAGAGTTTTAATAGGTTTTGATAGCAAGAACTGGCCGGGAATGCTTCTAATGTGGCTGGAATCCAGCAATACAAGAAGTCATAAGAATTGAAGTTGAAGTAGGAGATTAATTGAATAAAGATACACAAGCAAAGCTTCGCATTTTCGGCCTAATCTCTAGAAATTGAAGTAGAATCACATGTCGAAGAAGAGACCAATGACTTTGCAGATTAGGGTTCAATCCTTCACAGCCCGATGCGTCCCCTAAAGCTCGACACCCTCCCTCACTAGCTTCGCGATTCCTCATGCTTCAATCGCATGTTTATTTTTCTTCCTCTGTGGACACGACATAACAACCCAAGGGAGAAAGATGGGGCAAGATGAGTAAGTGGTAGCCCAAGCAAAAGGAATGGATGAAGCTCATAAAATCCCATCCATTGCATCCCATAGGGAAGTTATTAACAGATTTTGAAAATAAGCCCCTCAACATTTAGTATGGACCCGTTTTTTCTATGACCATATATGACTTAACATACGAACTTTCTTTTAATTCCACTTTAGCCCCTCAACGTAATTTACACCATTTAAATGAATTATATTTACCCTATTTTTCCACAAAACACATTAATTTAATTATATACCCTTTAAATATCAATTAATTTATTTAGATATTAAATAACACCATTTTTATTTAATTTATTTGACAATATACTCTAAGAATCTAAATAACTTTACAACAATTAATATTCTTGTAATAGAAAGCTAGCATCATTAACGAAAGGATTTTTGGGTCGTTACATTTTATAACAAGTGCTAGTAACTCTTTTAAGGATCATGACACAAAATTTTCCACGTCATCAAAGAACACCTATGTCATCCGACACGTCCTCAGCCATATTATCTTCGTAAAAAATCATACGAGACCTTTACCAACACATAATATTTGTTTTACAAACACATGCATGTGTAGGAATTGCTTATTATATGCCCACATCACCTATGTGTCGGTCAACATCTATATCTACTGTCATGAGCCCACATTTTAACACTTAATTTGTATGTAGGTAAAGATAATTTCCAACACATAATAGGCTTTTACCAACACATAATACTATGTACAAATTATTTTAATTTTTCTATTAATTGTTTTTAACCATTTTTGAGTTATCTTTAACAAGTAACACCTTCCCGATCATGTTGTCATGTTGTGATAGCACAAATGATTAAATTGTAATATTGCCAAAGTAAAGGGATCTATATTGCAATTAGACAAAATTGCAAAAAAAAAAAAAAGTCATTGTGTTATGTCAAAATTTGTCATTTGGTCCAAAAAGTTTTGGACTTGCACCTCTAATCCAAAACTTTGATTTTGTTGACAGTTTGGTCCAATTTAAAATCAAATGTACTTAAAATGATATTTTTGCCTTTTCTATTTGTTTTTCCAGTTTCTTTTTATTACTTTCATTAAAATAAAACAAATAACCAAAAAAATCTACCCCTAATAACCCACCCAAACTGCACCCCACACCAGCTATTTCCTTCATCACAGACTCTATTTTTGTCTTTCTCTTTACCAATTGGCTATAAATCACCACCACTACCAGAATCTTCCACCAACACTGCCGGAATCAACCACCACCACCGCCAGAAACCAACATCGACACCATCGTCCTTCATATTCTCCGATTAGGGTTTCGTTGTCGTTGCCTAGTTTCGATTAGGGTTTTCCCGCCGTTGCCTACCTCTATAGTCCTTCTTCTTCTCCGATTAAGGCCCTCTGCGTTGGAGCACTTCAGATCTATCTCTCTCATCATCGATCTGAAAACCCTCATTGTCGCCGCTATGAACATCCCACTGCGAAACTCTAGCCGACAAAGTCGAGTTTGAGCAGCACCGCCAACACCACTCGTTTTTTCTCACCCATCTTTTTCCTACACACGACACCGCTGGAAAACTCAACCACAATGGAAAATGGTGGTGACGAAACCCTTATCAAAACCCTAGCCACTAGAGACACTAATCACAAACTTCAATGTGTGTGTGTTTGTTCTTAAGTGTGTGAACATGTTCTTGAGTGTTTATGAATGTGTGGGTGTTTTAAATGTTGGAATCAAGTAAATGTTTTGAGTTTCTTCTTGAGAGAGAAAGAGCAGGGGTAGGTGGGTGGGGTTCTTTTTCCCTTTTTTATTTCTATAATAAAAAAATAAAAAATAAAATAAAAAGGGCAAAATAGTGCTAATTCAAAACATTTTGGATGAAACTCGCAACAAAATCAATGTTTTGGATCGGTAACAAAGATCAAATGCTTTTTGGATTAAAATATACATAGATATGTAACAATTTTGCAATTTTGTGTTGAAGTTGTTTATTTTAGAAAAAGGATATATATACCCCACGGCACATACATGCCATTTCACAAATCCCTTTTAGTCTTTCCGCCATTGTAGAACTCTCAAGGAAATCCATGGCGATAGCAGAAATCCATCAAGATATCATTCAAACTCACATCTTGACCAGACTCAACGGTCAATCTCTAGCAATTGTCGGCTGCACGTCTTTGCTTCTACAATTCCTTTGCTCCGACGAGAAACTATGGTCAGATATATGTTCTTCCGATTGGCCCTCCACCGATGAACCGTTAGTCAAACAAGCTATTTCCAACTTCCCCTCCGGCCACCGTTCTTTCTTCTCCGAATCCTTTCCATCTCCCTCCAACCGCCTCACCACCACCTCACCACTCCCACAAACCTCCCAAATCATCTCCTCCGTGGACATCAGATACAACGACGAGCTGATGTTCTCCAAGGTTGAATCCACGAACACCACACCGAGCGACTGGTTCCAAACCTTGCCGTTTCGAATCGACCTACTTGAACCCAAAGAACTCATCCCATCAGTGGTGAAGTTTTCCAGTGATGATCAGGTAATGCAATCGAATCTTGAAAAGCACATGACCTTGAGTTGGATCTTAATAAACCCAGCCCTGAATCGGGCTATGAATCTATCCAGCAAGAAACCAGTTTCTGTTCAACGGAACTGGTTAACCGATGAGATAGAGTTGAACTTCGCGTTTGTGGCGGTTTCTGGCATTTCTGTCTATGATAACGTCTACGTGAACTGCAACATAAAGATCACATGCGGGGTTAAGCAAACCAGCGGGGAGTTATACGTGAGTGGGATGAGTTTAACTGTGCAAATATATGAAAGAAATCCCTAGGCTCTGATACAACGGATGGGAAATAGAGGTTACAACTACAATGCCTTAAGAGGAAAAACAATCAAACAATTCAATTGATTAGGGCACATGCAACCTAGTTTGATCTATGTCTTTCACATATTAGCAACATACTAAGAACACTAACTTACAAAAATTTCCTATGAACAAACTAATTCATAATAAAAGAAAAACTAAACTTTAAGATTGTTATTGTAAACAATCTTGAATCCTTCTTCTTCAAAACCTTTGGCAGCTAGCACCACAAGTGTAGTGCTTCTGATGGTTCACACCCAAGACTAGCAACTAAGGATTATGGGGAGGGAGGAGGAGAGTTTCGGCAAGAACTCTTCTAGGGTTATCAATGCTGAGTTTATGAAGGGTATGTCCCTTTATATAAGTGAGATAGCTTAGTGCCAAAGCTAGGGTTTAAGCAGGAACCCCTAATCAATTTGTTTGGTGACCAAGCAACTTATGAGCCTCCATCCAAAAGCCTTTGGACAAAAATTCTAGGCCCTTCCTAGAAGTTTTCGTCCAACCTCTTACAAGGAGGTTCTAGAGCCCTTTTCCTCACCTATCAATAAATAGCCAAACATTCACTTCACTTTTAATTAATCCCAAAATTAATTCTAAATAATTTTTGATTAATTATTAATTAAATATTACCATTTCTAATATATTATTTTCATAATATATTAACAAATTATTTATTTTAATTTATTAATCAAATAATAAATCATTCTCTCTCTCCAAAATAATCTTGTCCAATTGCTAGGTTTGAGGTCAACCCAAAAAGACTATGCTACCATCAACTCTAGTTTATACATTTTATAGTTATGGGCTTAGACACCGAATCCAACCTATGTGAGCAAGTGTCTGACTTGCGCCAAGGTCAAAATTGAATACCAGAAACCATCCGGGCTATTACAACAGCCGGATATACCTCAGTGGAAGTGGGAACGAATAACCATGGACTTCATAACCAAGCTGCCTAAGACATCGGGCGGGCTTGACACCATATGGGTAATCGTAGACAGATTGACCAAACAGCACACTTCCTACCGATAAAAGAAACCGACAAGATGGAGAAGCTGACTAGAACGTACATCAAAGAGATTGTACGACTCCATGGTGTGCTGATATCCATTATCTCCGATAGAGATAGTAGATTTACCTCACGGTTTTGGCAGTCTCTACAAAAATCATTGGGAACTAGGCTTGACATGAGTACGGCCTACCACCCACAAACCGACGGACAGAGCGAACGAACCATTCAAACGTTGGAAGACATGTTAAGAGCTTGTGTGATAGACTTCGGTAAAGCATGGGATACCCATCTACCGCTTATCGAATTCTCCTACAATAACAGCTATCATACTAGCATCAAAGTGGCTCCATTCGAAGCTCTTTACGGTCGCAAATGCAGATCACCCCTGTGTTGGGATGAGGTGGGGGATACACAGCTAGCTAGAGGGCAAGTCTCTAATAGCACCCTCACTGGCCCTGAAATCATAAGGGAAACCACAGAAAAGATCGTTCAAATTCGAGAAAGACTGAAAGCGTCTCGCGATCGGCAAAAAAGTTACGCAGACAAACGACGCAAACCCTTGGAATTCCAGGTGGGTGATCGTGTACTACTAAAAGTTTCCCCTTGGAAAGGAATGATACGATTCGGCAAACGCGGGAAACTAAATCCAAGGTACATCGGGCCATTCGAAATCCTTGCTAGGATTGGGCCAGTAGCATACAAACTACGATTACCTCAGGAACTCGACAAAGTACATCCCACATTTCACGTGTCGAACCTAAAGAAGTGTTTGTCTGATGAGACACTCGTAATACCACTCGACGAAATCGAAGTTAACGAAAATCTCCACTTCGTGGAGGAACCAGTCGAAATCATGGGTCGGGAAATCAAACGAACGAAGCAAAGTCGTATTCCCATCGTGAAGGTCCGTTGGAACGCTAAACGAGGACCCGAATTCACCTGGGAACGCGAGGATCAGATGAAACAAAAGTATCCACATCTCTTCCCAAACTCTTGAAATCCCAGTCAAAATGAAAATTTCGGGACGAAATTCCTTCTAACGGGGGGATGATGTGACAACCGTCAAATTTCGGTCAAGTCAAAGTCAAACAAAGTCAACAAGTCAAACCGGTCAACTCCAATAACCCTTGTATGTTAGGGTTTACGTTATGTAATCACTATACAATTCGCTATTTTAATGAGAAATCATCATTTGGAAAGTTCATGTGTTTGATTTTCCTTAGCCTTAACAGTGCTAAACAACGAACCAAAGCGATAAAACACTATTGCACAATCATCGGGATTGTGTACGACACTAAAACACGGTTTAACGGGGTTTACGAACCTTGCGTTGTGAAGCCGGACACTCAAATTAATCACAAACGAAACCTCTCTAAATCGTTTTCACTCTATCTCTTTCTATTTGAAATCTCTCACAAATCTCTCCCAAAGACGGCCCCTTTTTACCGGTTTTTCGACTACGACTTCGTTTTAACTCCGTTTTTCATTATTTTAACGTGGGATTTTCACCCAAAACTTTATTTTATAAACTAAGGCCCCAAAATATATAAATCTCCAGGGTTTTTATAAAAATGTATTAAAAGAATTGGTGGTTGGACTAATTATTGAGGGAATATTTGCTTTTCCTTATTTTATGACAAAAGCAAGCCACCACCACCTCACTCTATGATCATCCACTCTTTCTCACTACTCCTTGTCACCTTAGTGGACCTTTACACCCAATCTCCAGCTCTTCCCACGTTCTAAGAGCTGGAGGATTGATCCTCTCTCCTCATTCTCCATAAAGTTCTTTCATTCTACACTTAGCAACCAAAGGACACTCTCCAAAATTCTCTCATCTTTTCTCTCAACTTCAAGAACTTCAAGGCTTTCTCCAGGGATTTCTTCCTTGAATTAGTAAGTATCTCCATCATTCACATAATTATTAAACTCCATTCTACTCAAATTATTGATATCTTACACAAATTCCATCTTATTCGGTGTTAGATTCTCGAATCATCAAGACATCTTCTTAGTGTTCTTGGGTTGAACACTTCCTCTATCTCACTTTCATCTACTGAAATCACATAAGGTGAGTTCATACCCCTACATTTACATGTTTTCTTAAGTTTTAAGGGGGGAATACAAGTAAAATCATCAAGAACACAATTAAACTTTTTCTAACAGATTACATCAGAAAAGATGGACTTTAATCACGGACTGTTTTGGTCAACTTAAATATTTTAGTTTTCAAAACTGTTCCAGGTGCAAGTAGTTCAAACTCTTAGTTTTAAAATGGCTACTTGCACATCTCCATATGATGTTTCTACAATATATGGTGATTTTTACAAAACTGCCTATCATTTCAGAGGCAAACCTGGACCAGCCTGTGATTATGGACATTTTGACCTCTGTTAGAGATCACTAAAAATCATGATAAAATTTATGAACAAACTAGACTCATATTCCAAACTCTCATAATTTGTGGATTTGGATTTGGAGCTTTGATGATTTTTCTATAAATTTTCTAAGAACAGTAACAGAAACTGTATTCAACGAAAAGTTGCTGTCAATTTCATTTCACCTTGTAACATGTTGAGCAAGGTGTATATCTTTATGTGATTATATGTTATTGCAATATATGACATTTTATCTTAATATTTTGACACACATCAGTTTACAAATGGATTTGGACATATAAAATATAAAGAATAACAAGTGATTATAATCAAAGTACAACCGATACATTCAAACATTTAATAAACTATTTTAAATATAGTTTGCATACATTACTACGTACTACCCTTGGTTGATAAACTATAATAGGTATAGTTTATGATACATTACATAACACATACATTTAAAAAGGGTACATTTATACAAAGGATATTTTCATTAAGCAGGTACGGCCATACGGTACCAAGTTTTCATAACACGTAATTCCGTTAATGACTTTGTGAGACATTTACTTCAAATTACCATTAAGTCATGTATTGTAACCAGAGTCTCCTTGAGGGAGAGCGTGATAGTTGTGTATAGATCTATATTGGGTTTGACAAACCCACACCTAAACTGCATGCAACAGTTAGACCGATAGGTCTGGGGTGACAAATGTCATAACATTTCTGACGCCTGAAGAACCTCGTTTTAGGCAACCTTGGTCATAGTATGGTTATAATAAACTCACATAAAGTATTAATAAACATTGGAATTTACGGGAACTTCATTAAAATTTAACGAGTTTATGTCGATTAAACTTGTATTGTTTTACTATAAATATGACAAATTACTTGTACATTTCGGTCTTTGGGTTTTAAGACTACATTTACACATTAAGGAAAATATTGGATTTTCTAACACAAATACTACTTTTACAAACGAAAGGCTTTTAATAATACCAAACAAAAACTTATGAACTCACCAACCTTTGTGTTGACACTTTTTCAAACAACTTGTATTCTCAGGAAATCATTAAACAGGTAACCAAGTGCTTTTGAGGATGGGGCGCTAAGGCGTCTACTATTTCATATTTTGTCAACATATTGTAATTGATTCGTAAACATGTAATTCATACAATGATGTCACTTTTTCAATTATATATATGTTGGTTGTGTTTGCTTCAATTACTATTACAATTGTTGTTATGATACTATACATGAAGTCCTCCACCCCCGGACGTTTCCGCCATCCTTGGTTTGGGGGTGTGACAGAAATAGGGCTAGACCCAACCTTCTGAAATTATTTAATCCTTGCAATATGTAACTTAGCATATTCGTTCACTAGTTAGTGAAAGACAACTAGAACTCCTAATAGCACAAAGCAAGCAGCATTCGGGCATTGAGTACACATAATCAAGTATATACTACTCTGGCTATCATACTGACTGATCTGTACTAGCATGCAATTCTCAAAAAGCCGAAACACATAAAGCAGGAACATAAGGCATCATTCCTAGATTCTTAGTCCTATTCTAGCA